AGCGTTCCAAAAAGGTTAGGGGAAAACCAAATACAGCGCTAGTTAGCTGAAAGTGTCTATTATGCCAGTACAAACTTGGGTTTTTGTTGGTGCATTAGTATTTTTTCTGTAGCGTTTAGAAACGAACATGTTTTTTTCTCTTGCCGAAAATAATGTGCGAAAAACATGAGCAACGGATAAACGTAAAATTTTCTCGTTAAACTAAAAAAAACTCCAACTGAGTGCTATAAGTTGTTAAAAGAGGCCTATAGTGAGGATTTCTTATCTCGGGCGGGTGTTTTTGAGTGGCATAAATTATTTTCTGAAGGTCGATAATGAAATTATATTATAATTATGAAAAATTGAAGCGGTGTGTGGAGAGGGGAGGAGAGTATATTGAAGGGGAACATTCGGTTGTGGAATAATTTTTAAAATAAAACCATTTTTCATAAGAAGTCTCATAATTTAATAGCCAGACCTCGTACTTGATTAATGTTCGAAGTATATCTTTTAACAGTTTTCGCTTCCAGGTTTTGGGAGAACTTATTCAACTCAAGAAAAGTGTTGAGGTAGTTGTGTCCAGCCATTGTTATTGTTTTCTTGGTGCTTTCGAAATTATAAGTATATTTATTATGTAAATCGAAGTGTTTAGGTTTCAAATGATAGTAAAAAACTATTGTGAATATAATATTACAATGAAATCCTATAGTAACATATATGTAGTCATTGCATCATATTTATATTTGTTCCTATAGTAATTTAAAAGCCAACATGCCACCGTAGTAGGTGTAATTTTGGGAATTTAGAACACAATTTTTTTTTTTAATTTTAAGTCTGTACGTTTCTGTTCAGCACTTGTCATGGGGACTGCGAATTCTCCCTACGGGTTTTACAACCGACCGGAAAAGTGTGAGTACAGCAAGTTCATCGCCAATCAAACGGCCAGTGACCGTTCGTGGTGCGGAAGCGAACGCCAAGTTTAATGTAAACATTGGTGGTCCTTTTACTCGGGTCAAGTTTGCCGATAATACAATTAGCACTAGTGATAGTATACGTGTATTAAGGATAAAGGATAATTATAATAAGTGTCATGAAGATAATACCATTATAAGTTTTGACTTGTAACTTTTGATAGTCTTCGACATCCTAGATATCAGGCGGATTGTGGATCTTTATGAAGGATATGACATTTTTAAACTTATATCAAATACTTATAATCTATTTGTATAGGTAAATTACGTGCTTGAACAATTTATTAAAAATGTTAAGTCTAGCGTCTAATCGCGGGGTATTCAAAATAACAAAATTAGTGTCCAAACGTTTTTAATATTCAGGTAAAAATTCAATGTAATGCCAAATACTTTTTGCTCATATGACATTAGCTAATATTTTAGTTATAACTATAATAGGAAAATTTATATTTTAGTTATTTCAAGGGATAAGATCTGCAGGAAAGTATTATTCAATTAAAATATTGTAATTCTATTTTTATAACGTTTGTTTTACAATCTGTACCAATATATTATACGAGTACGACCTAAAAACTAAATCTAATTTGTTATGCTATTATAGTACGTATGTATACTATATTAGAATATAATACAAACGTCAATATACATATTTTA